CATTAGTGGAAAATTGAATACCTAACTACAGAAGACTTTGGTTAGCTGATCCTGAATATATGGAAAAACACATAAAACCTTGCATAAGAAATTCTTTTTGGAGAGATGTAATCTCTGCATGGGGATCATATCTAGAAAAACATTATAAGACACTAAACTCAAATGACATGTTAAACCAACGTATTGGGTTTAATTATATGTTTAACATAGGTTACGAGACAATTTTTATAAACAGTTGGTACAAATACACTTTATTTATGATCTAATGAACCCAACTACAGGGGAATTCTATACTTATGAAGACCTACAAATAATATATCAAGTTAACACAAATATCTTAAGATACATAGTATAAAATCTTCCACAATAACCTGCTTAAAGAGAAGACAAATCACTCTTCCCAAAACACTCCCATTTTCTCCAATACTACCATTCAATATATCTAAACGTAGTCTAAGGGTTAAAGGCTCCAAACGTTTTTATCTTTCTTTACTTTATAAAAAGTGGGAGTGAGCCTTTGAAACAGTATGATAACACAATGCTACGAAACAAATATATGATGACAAATCGACCTACAAAATGTAGTAATTTGAAATGGTTACAGATGAAGATATTATATGATATTATACCCACAAACATTTTCTTAAATAAAGTCGGTCTAAAGGACACTCCTTTATGTACATTCTGTTCAAAGGAATTAGAAACAATTGTCGATCTACTCTGTAGTTGTTGTCATGTTAAAAGGAAAAGGGATAGTTTGACCAGATGGCCCATGACTGAAACTCAAGGCAACATTGACTTTTCACCAGAAAACATCTTACTTGGATTTAAAGGGAAACATAATAATTCTTTAAACACAATATGTCTTGTTGTAAAACAGGTAATACACACAAAACAAATAAAACAACAAGTTCCAAATTTCAAGCATGTAGTAAGGGAGATATCAAAATACTATGAAATTACAAGATATAATGCTTATTCTACATGCAGTTACAACTAGTTCTTTACCTTCTGGTCATCTTACAACAATCTATTTACAGAAAATATTACGTCAGAAAACATATTGTAAGTGTATGTAATTACTATTACTATAATTTGAAACACTGAGATAAAATATGCAAAACATAATCAAAGACGTTTATTCATTGTGTGATGGGGATTTGTGAAAGTGTATTGAGTATACTCATGTGAATGTATTCTACATGTACTATGTAAACTGTGGAAATAAAGATGGTAATAAAAAACACCTTGGAATGGTAGACCTTTTAACTCCCGTTTTTTCAAATCATTTAAGTAAGAAACTAAAATGCCTTCAAAGTTATATTTTAGAACATATTATTCGTATATGTTTTGTCAAAAAGAGATGCATTGATGATGTTGAAAGTAAGATTAAAATGGCAGGAAATGCAACTTCCCTCTGGCATTAAAATAACTATGGAATAGTGCAGGTGCTTATGTAGCATATATGCTTTCCGTGGAAAGTGCATGTTAATTTTTGGAATCAGTATTGCATATAGACTCAATAAATAAACATGGTTCCATTTTTCCTGATGATTATTAGTGTCATTCTGGGGTAACTGAACATCGGTACCCATAATCGAGCTGCAACACCAATGTGAGAAAAGCATGTTTTTATAAACCAATACAACATAGGCATGTAGTATATCAAAATGTACCTTGTGATGGGTGTTTCACAACTACCATTATATATCATGAATCTCAATAATATATGTATGCATAGTAATGAAACTTACTGGATCTCTTGGGTATTCCCCAGAGCAATACATTGGTATCTCCTGCACATTTCACAAGAATGACAGTCATCATAGTCATTACTGCTGTCCATGAGGTGACGTTGACGTTACTGCCTTGTATGACCACCTCTTACTGCTAGAACTGATCGAATCAGTTGTTGGATGTTTCGTTGTGGATTCCTTATCCATTCCCCCTACAGCATGCTGAACAACTGTTAAAGGGTCAATGGCGGATTACGACGTTGACATACATGTTTATCGATCTGATCCCACCGAAGAAGAAAGAAGAAGAAAATTAGTTTATTAACGTGTCACATATTTTCCATATATACCAATACATTTAGTCGACAAGTTGAAAAAAATACCCGGCCTTTCAGGCCTACTAGACACGATTATACATTAACTTTGCGTTAAAATATTTAAAGTGTAAAACTCATATAAAAAACTTTGGCAATATTAGCAAGATTATGCTACATAAAATGCAAAACAATTGTACAGAACAATTGCACCTTGTGGATGGGTAAAGCACTTTACGGATATTATTATTGTTATTACCTTGATTGAATATTACGTACGGTGTTTAAGACGACGTTCATACATATTGAAAAGCCATGAGGTTAAGGCGTTACAGTTAATATTATCTTGCATTATAGCAATGAAGAGGTCTGAGGGAGATAATGGTGACAGTGAATTATAAAGCTTCTTAATCATATCAGCACGGATATCTGTATAGAGGCTACATTTCATCAGAAAGTGAAAATCATCCTCAATCTCGCCAAGGTCACAACATTTGCAAATTCGTTCCTGGAGAGGGATAGGGGGATGACTGAATCTTCCTAGTTCGATTTTTAGAGGGAGAGTACCGCACCTCAGTTTTGCTAATATACTACGACGACGTCGGCTAGATATCGAGCTTAGGTAAGCTTCGGCGTTTAGACTGGACTTGAACAATCTGTATGTACGCAATCTATTTCCATTAGTTAAACCTCGGTCGTTCCATAACTGATTTACCCAATCTTCTGCATCGATCAAAAGTACACGGTCTTTAATCAGTAGGAAGTCGGCTTGTATATTCCTGACGTCGGAGATACCACAGATAATCAATTGGTTTCACATCCGGGCCATGGCCAGATGGAGGGCCAGGGGAGGACAATGATGTTGTTATTGGCCAGGTAGTCCGCTGAAGCACGTGCTGCATGAGGTCTGGCGCGTTCCTGTTGGTACAGTTCCCTCTGGCGGCCGACAAGGCGATGCACGTGAGGACAGAGAATCTGGACGATGTAATGTTAGATTGCCTTGGACGAGCACCAATTCCGATCTGCAGATTTATGAGATGGCTCCAAACACCAAGACACCATCACCACCAAATCTGTCCACTTGCCTGATGCCGTTGGGTGCAAAACGTTCATTGCGTGGTCTGTAGACATATTGTCTTCTGTCACGTCGCTTGAGGGGATACCGTGATCATCACTAAACCGGATGTAGCGATCTTGGACTGGTCTTCCTGGTCTTGGATGGTCATTTGTCGAATTAGAATGCACAAAACGATCCCACAAACGGGGTATTGAGCTGGGATGAACGCTGAAGGTCCTCGCCACGACACTCTTGGATTCGCCAGCTTGTAATCGTCCAATGGCAATATTTCGGTCGGCACCACTGAGACGTCCCATTTTCTCATCCAGTATTTGCAAGGGTCTTGGATGAATTTGCGAGATGCATTTGGGTCTTTTATAGTCATAGATTGTACTCATGCTTTGCACGTGAAAAACAATAATTGCGGCTTTTGGTTGTGTTCCATAACAGTCAACCTCATCGTGACAATGATGATCGATAACGCCATTCAAAACCGATAAATGTTGAGGGATAAAAAGTATACAAAGGTTTCCTGGACAGAAGTGTCTAGAAACAGATTGCTCACACACAGGGAAAAAGCTCTCTCACTCGCTCCCTCACTCAGTCACTCTTAGTACTGCACTAGCGCATGTCAAGTACACTTGTTTCGAAACATCTGTCTGAACTTTACGTCACAATCTGCCATGCGTTCCATGAATGCTCTGCGAAACATCTCGACCTGGGCACCAGTCAAGTATATAATGGAAGTATGTCAAAGATACAGATACAGATTTATTCAACTGATACACAGGCGACAGGTCCATTACAACATAGATAAAAATATATGTAAATGTCTTTGCACATATGTGAACATATTCAACACTTCTCATGCATCCCTGAGTTTTCTCAATTGGCATACATGGTACATATATAAATTTTATCACTATCATACTGAGTTTGGTTTTACGCCGCTTTTAGCAATATTCCAGCAACATCACGGCGGGTATCACTATCATAACCTACAAGGAAAATGTGTAATGTTGTATTAACGTATGTTGTAGATATCTGGATATGTATTTCTGTATTTCTTTTACTAATGTTTCTTAAAGATTTACAAATCATAAGATAGTGGTATTTATCTTCTACTTCTCCAAATTTACATAATTTGAATAATATTTTAAAATGATTTACATCTTTCATCCTTCCTCTAATATTTGGCAAAATACTTCTTAATGCATTACAACGAATTACATTGGTATACCTTTGCGGTTGGAAACTATTCATAAAAATGTATAGTTCTGAAATTTGGACTGTTATTAGCAGAAAAACAAACTGATAAAATATCTAATTGCTTTTGTAGATCTTTGCACACATTTGCCTATAATACAATGCCATCGGCGAAAATAAAGTAATTAAAATTTCACTATCTCGGGTGTGGGTTGCATCCCATACCAGTTTGAGCATTCAGTTCTAGTTGCTAACGGGACGGTGGGGTAGCTTCGTGATTAAAGCCTTCGTTTGTCACGCCGAGTCCGATTTCCCACATGGGTACAATGTGTGAAGCCAATTTCTGGTGTCCCCCGCCCTGATTTTTCTGGAATATTGCTAAAAGCGGCGCAATGGGAAACTCACTCTAGTTGGAAACCCATCTATTTATATAGATAACATTCAGAGACTCATAATGCACCCTTGTCTGATGCCTATGGGGCACTCCAAGATCTCAGAATATAGGGGATTGTTTATAACACAGGCAGAGACATTTGAATAGAGACTTTGAATGATTGAATACTTTGGGAGTTTTGCTATATCACCCGCTTTTTAAAACTCCATACACGCTACGTACATACTACCTTGTCTACTTGCACACGTTTTTGAATAACATAATTTAATATGAATATATCTGTGACGGAATGGTAACTTGTGTTATATTGGGATTACACGTTCTCACCATAGTACAGATTTTAGAACGTGTTTTTTTTTAGTCTCACGTGGGATTCGAACCCTGTTGTAGTTATTAGTTTCCTGTTCTCCTATCAGCATGGGTACACATTTTCCATCTGGCACCTTGGTCTTCCTTCCTTACTTCAGCGTGTATCTAAAGTTTATGTCACAATCACCCATGTTTTCCTTGTATAGTTTGTCAAAAGCCTCGTTCTGGGCCACGGTGAAGTAATTTTTCCAGTCGCCAACTTCACCTGAAACACGGAAAATACGTAACAAAATTTTACTTTATAAGGATAAGTTTGTAATGTACGTAGAGGAAAATAATATAATTGTTTTTGTACAGCTGGTCATTTATCCAGTTTGTTCTTGAGCCCCGGGTGCGAATTTTGATAAAAACACGAAAATACAATTTCATTTTGATTAATAAGACATATGTGCCCTTCGCCGACCACATCGAGGCTTTTCATCAACGTCATTTGTCTGTCGATATCGTGATTGAAACGTTAAGAGCTAGCATCACAATGCTCTTTCGTTCAAACTACCTAAATGCCAATTTACACGTAGCCGTTCCTGACAAACGCAGCATGTGAAAAAACACCCTTTAAAGTTAAAACATTGTCCGAACAAGTTTCATTTTTCAAAAGTAAACTAAAGCAACGAAACGATTTCGAGGAACGAGAAAATACTCGACATTTTGAAAGAAATCTGATAATATTCAAACAGTTAAAGTTAAATAATCGACGTGCGAGAAAATAATCGAAGTAACGATAAAATAGTTGAAACAATGAGACAATACTTGATGAAACGAGAAATTTCGCTGAAAAGCACTTTATGGTACAAAAGTAACACAATTAGGCTTTCGTACAATACATCCATACAAATTGGTTACCAAGTTACATCATCAAAATACCCTACGTTTTTATATCAGTAAATCAATGGGTTACAGCCCTTTCCCAACCAGCTGTTGAATGCAGGACAAAACATGACGCTATAATTTTCATCAATAAATACTACTACAAAGCCCAAATGCTGGCGAGAGTACCCACCTTTTCTGTACATAACAGGCGAACCGTCATCTGCTTGAAAAAAGCTTCCTTTCTTTTCCTTCATTGTGTTGAAACTCGTCAACTCTTTTACTTTAAGGTAGAATTCCTCTGATTTCTCAGCATTCAGAAACTTCGCTAACTTTCTAATACCGGCAAGTGGATCCTGAAACAGATGAAATAATGGCCTACATTATCCCTATGGTAGAAAGATAAGGTCAAAATACCGGTATGTCGAGGTTAAATTGTATTTTTAGAGTTTTAATAATAAATGTTTTATCAGCATTTCCATCACGGCTGTTGTGTTGATATTAGTCATGTTGGTGGCCAAGCTGAAGTAGTGCCACAGTGTTCAGCTTGACCTGAACTACTCTACATATGCATGACACGGGAGGTCAAATGGCACAAACGGCAGATCAGGTTATCTTCATTAAATAGGGGTGCAGAAGCATGCATACATAGATTCGTTACTGAACCTGTCCCGAAAAACAACACTTCTGGGAAAAAACAAACAATCATGTCAAGTTTTAATTGAACTGTTTATACAGTCATATGCTATCTAGTTTGGTTTGCTAACTTAACAACTTACTGACGTCAGTTACTTTCACAATCCGATTCACTCTCGCTATCACTCTCTACACCCAGTTCAATTATCACTTGTTCTATTTCATATTCAACTGCAATATTTCTGCCCAAGTAGTCGCTTTCCAAATTTTCAACATGGGCACAGCAATCGCTCCACTTGTTTACACCAATCATCTGACAAAGGTGCACCCCTTAACAATAATAGACTCAACCTAATTGTGACACGGTCACGTAATTCATTAGTATTCACTTGATCAGGTCAAGCTGAATAAGCTATACGTGCGCAGTGAAGCGCCGTGAAATAAGACGCATTGTCAATCAAAATTGATACCGTCTAATATTATTGATTGACCAATCAAATTCGAGCATTTCACGTAGCTATGGTAGAATTCGAGTTATCTGAGGCTCGACATAACCGCAAAATGATGACTACGGAATACGTTCGTACCAAAAATATACTTCGAGAGAACTGTAAATTCGACACATCAGGATTCGACACCCGGATATGACTGATTCGAATCATTGCCGTCGAGCTCCTATCGACTTCCCATCCAAGGGTACACTGTTTGTCATCTGAGGCCACATGGAGGCGAAGGTGCCAGACATGCATCAATGCACAAGGTGGACACACTCGTCGACGAAACTTGCGAACCCCCTTTTGCCTTGTGGCTCCTTTGCATATGCCAGGAGCGCTATTCTTATGGACTGATGATACTTAACCTTGAAAGATTTGTCTTTCCATGAAATAACGTTTCATTCGCGGTAGTTAAAGTTTAACACTGATTTAGCCTGTTCCTGTGTGTAACAATAACTTTTGCCTTTGAGTATACTATATTAATTATGAATTGTATTGATAAAGGGCAAAATGGCATTTAGCTAACCTGACATGCGAGAATTTTCAACAGTGATAGCGTCCGACACAGCGCCAGTCTATGAATCAAGGGCAGCTATGTTAGACACCTCATTATTGTTTGTGTACAGAAAACAGAAACTTTTCGAATTTCAAGTTTCTTAAAACCCATTTGATGATTTAGATTCAATGCATTAACCATCACTATCACATAGTCACATGGACATTGCACAGTCGACAACAAATATAACAACTGCCGTACAGTACATTGTTACCTCTTTCAGATCTTCATACACCAGGGTCAAGGTCGGCACGTCGGGATGGGTTTCGCCAATGGCAGCCCAGTCCTTTAAATATGTACAAAACGACCCGTAGTCAACTGAAATGTGGAGACTTTGTTATCAGTGGTGTTTGCAACAAATCATCGGTTCTATTTTATTTTGACCTTCGCTTTGGCGTGTATTACAGTTAAGACCCCCACCAGGCATATATACTCAACAACGTTATTAACGCAGTATTGCTTGCAAATCATTAAATCGTATCCCACGGATGTTATTATACGTGATATTAACGACTAGAATCCAGCACAGAAACTCGTTCCACATCCATGCTCGACATCACTAAAAGAAACAACAATTGTCATGGGAAATATTAAATTTGCATTAATATGTACGTAGAGCTGCGAAAGCATTTTCTTCCCTAATATACTCTATCCTTGTTGACACAGATAGTTTATGAAAGGAATCCATTCACTGATTGTAACGAGACTCACTTTGGGTGGCACGGTACCGCATTAGACATACAAATATACTCATTTGGATATAATACTATCACACTGGAGTTGTATTCTGAATATTCTGGATGTCTACTCTGGTCATTATTTCCAAAACCATGCTATACTCGTCGTAAGAGGCGACTAACGGGATCGGGTGGTCAGGCTCGCTGACTGGGTTGGCACATGCCATCGTATTCCGATTGCGTAGATCGATGCTCATATTGTTGGTCACTGGATTGTCTGGTCCAGACTTGATTATTTACAGACCACCGCCATATAGCTAAAATATTGCTGAATATTGCGGCGTAAAACTAAACTCAATCACACACAACAGCTCTTACCTTTTCCATCCATCAGTAAAGATAAATGGTTTTCCCATTTCCCATCATATTCATAAATTTTTGACAGTTTCTTGTGGTGGTGGAAGAACGACACTGCCATGTCCTTGGGGTTTCGGAGGATGTAGATTATTTTGCACTTCTTCTCAAACACACCACGTGGCAGCTGTTCAACAAGACAGTGCGTGTTTAGGATCCGCGGGGATGGCAGTTTCTCCAAGACATCGTTTCCTACAAACTCTATCATGAATTTCTCCTTATTGATAACAGTGGCGGTATCCTCCGACAGAAGAAGACGGGCCATTTCCCACACCCAGTGCGTGCCTGAAAAATAAGGAAAACAGAGAGATCAATTTAAAGACACTATATCACACCTTATGTCTCCAAAGTATATAATGCATTTCTCTCAATATAATGTGTTAAGCCCATTTCTGGTGTCCCCAGCCGTTATGTTTCTGGAATATTGCTAAAAGCGGCGAAAAACCAAACTCAGTCAGTCAGTCTCTCAATATAACTAATTATCAGTCCCCAGGGAAGCTACCACTTATTAAAAGAAACTACGTGTCTAGCTTACAATAGTAAATTAACAGGTTCGAATGAATGAATGCAACGTTGCATTAAAACGACTCGCGCGTCCTCCACCGACAAAACATTATCTCAACCCCATAGAGTTATGTCCCTTGGATCGTTCTTTAAGAATATCCAACGCACAACTTGTGATTGAAACGGTTTAACCAGTTCGGCAAACACCGACAACATCGCGTGCGACAGTTTTCGATGTACGGAGCAATTGTTTACATTCCATATATGGCAACTGTTCTCTGTTTGGAAACTGTTTCGCTTATCGATTTCAGGCAAGTCATAATGGATAATAAGTCTTTTATTGCATCAATAGGAAGTGTGTGCATATGCCCCAATATATATAATATAGGCCAAACTATAAACCGAAACTGAGTGACATTGTACCTTTAAGATTTCGAAGCGAGTTGGGTAAACCAGGACCTCGTTCCACAAAGGGATCGTATCGCTACGACAATCGTAAGTCTATGTTAAAGTATGGGGGTTACAATCACTTTGAGTAACCGGGACCCGGGCTTCAAGCGCTCGAGCTCATCAGTCCGAAGGCCTGGTTTCAATCCCCCATATTTGTACAATGTTCCTGCCATGAAATGCCTGGCGTATTTTTGATAACGTCATAAAATCATACTCAATCGCTCCAAATTACTAATGGCGTATATTTTTCCCAACACGAGTGTCACCATATAGAACATCGCCAGTAACGTCTTTGAGTGGCATTTGTTAGAAGTTGGAGAGTCAGATAAGGACAAACTTTATGGATGAACAACTTCGTTATTCAGGTGGTGCAACGTTTTGATACAGATTCTTGTATCGTTGTCAAGCAGGTATGAGTAAGGTATAAAACAGGGTTATATATTGTTTTAGTTAATTATATACTGCATATATAATACAGGGTTATATACTCTGTATTATATATGCAGTATGTAATTAACGAAAACAACAAGAACGATAACTGAGAAGACAGAGTGCCTGATGCCCTTTGTATTGAACTGAACCATCTGAACTATATCTTCACTTCCCTCAATGATTACTCTACCCACTTGGTCTCTAAAACCATAAACCCTCAAGAACTCCAAACCAAAACCCAAACCTGCTCCATCACCCAATCACTATCCCCATACACCTACCAAGTCCTGTCAGCCTTTAGATGTCCCACATCTTCAAGAACCTACACAGACGTCACCGTTTCCACCGACAAGACTATAAGGACACGTCAATGGCAGAGGCACCAACGGGTCGAGGTCCAATCCAAGAGGATGTATGTAGCAGATCCCCTGTGTCAACCACCAATACATTGACGAAACCATCAGAGCCCTTAACGACAGACCAGACCTCCGTAAACAATCTCGATCGGAAATCTGTCATTTCCGAACACATCAACAAGAACCCAGACAACGCCAACATGTCATCATCACCATCTCCGTCATCGTCATCGTCGTCGTCATCAGCATCGTCGTCATTATCACCATGCTTTTCGTCGTAGTCATCATCATCACCTACCAATACTGAGTACACCTGGATCAACTCCTGGCTCCTATTTGCTCACTGCCATTACCATTCAACGCCAGTTATCTGCTTCCTAGCTGTCATTCACAGCATGAAGGAGAAAAATATACTCTGCTATGTTCAGTTCCTCAAATTACAGAAGTTGAGAGTCATAAATGTCTTGATGAATACACAATTGCATTTAGAAAGTGGTCAAATGTAACATATGCTTTATTTGGGATTACACTTTCTCAGTAAAGTTCAGAATCTGTGGAAACCGCGGTGGCTGAGCGGGTTAGGTGTGTTGATTCTGTGTAGGCGCCTGACTCTGAGTAAAGTAGAAGAATCTGTACTGTAGTGAGAAATTGTAATCTTAAATATAACATATGGTACATATATGTTTCCCTATATTATATTGATTTAGTAGAGGTAGTGGTAATGGAAGCAATACTATAGTTTGATACTTTATAATCCTGGACATTTCTACAAAATGTATACAACATGACACCATGAAGCAAACGCATGTTTCTGTCATCTAACATCTCATCAAGATAAACGGTTGCTTGAAGATCAAACTTTCACCCTAGAGAGGCCGTGGGGTATCCTAATGGTTAAAGTGTCCGCTCGTCACGCTGAAGACCCGGGTTCGATTCCCCACACGGGTACAACGTGTGAAGCCCATTTCTGGTCTCCCTGGCCGTCATATTGCTGGAATATTGCTAAAGGCGGCGTAAAACCATACTCACTTACTCACTACACCCTGGATATCCTGCCTTGGCCTATTTGGAGAATTGTTGCTGCTCGGGGAATACATTTATCTCTTACTTTCTTGTTGTGACCAATGCTGTTTAAACCTGTCCACCTAGCATTGTACAACCACTGGAGTTTGTACTTCCATTGTGCACTACCATTGTAATGAATATATGATAATTTGATTTGATTTGCAAACCAAGTTAATGTCATAGTGCATTTGTCAGTTACATAACAGTTCTTAGTCGTTTGTTGGTTACATACTTAATCATGTTGCATGTATAATTCTGGGTTACTTGGCGTTCACCACACTTAGGATAGGCGCTCACTACATTTACAATAAGCCCTCACCACTTTTGCGATAGACACTCACCACATTTAAAAATATACACTCACAACATGCAAAATATGCACTCACCACATATAAGATAAGCACTCACAACATATAAGATATGCACTCACCACATATAAGATATGCACTCACCACACATAAGATATGCACTCACCACATATATGATAGGCACTCACCACATATAAGATAGGTACTCGCCACATATAAGATAGGCACTCACCACATATAAGATAGGTACTCACCACATATAATGTAGGCCCTCACCACGTTTACGATAGGCACTCACCACATAAACGATAGGCACTCACAACGTTTGCGATAGGTAATCACCACATATTCGATAGACACTCACACCACGTTTACGATAGGTACTCACCACATATACGATAGGCACTCACAACGTTTGCGATAGGTAATCACCACATATACGATAGGCACTCACAACGTTTGCGATAGGTAATCACCACATATACGATAGGCACTCACAACGTTTGCGATAGGTAATCACCACATATACGATAGGCACTCACAACGTTTGCGATAGGCAATCACCACATATACGATAGGCACTCACAACGTTTGCGATAGGTAATCACCACATATACGATAGGCACTCACAACGTTTGCGATAGGTAATCACCACATATACGATAGGCACTCACAACGTTTGCGGTAGGTAATCACCACATATACGATGGGCGTTCACAACGTTTGCGATAGGTAATCACCACATATACGATAGGCACTCACAACGTTTGCGATAGGTAATCACCACATATACGATAGGCACTCATCGCATATAATATAGGCACTCACAACATATTCGATAGGCACTCACCACATTTAAGATAGGTAATCACCACATATAAGATAGGCACTCACAGCGTTTGCGATAAGTAATAACCACATATACGATAGGCACTCACAACGTTTGCGATAGGTAATCACCACATATACGATAGGCACTCATCGCATATAATATAGGCACTCACAACATATTCGATAGGCACTCACCACTTTTACGATAGGTAATCACCACATATACGATAGGCACTCACAGCGTTTGCGATAAGTAATAACCACATATACGATAGGCACTCACAACGTTTGCGATAGGCACACAACACATATAAGACAGGCACTCACCACATATTCGATAGGCACTCACCACATAAAAGATAGGCACTCACCACATAAAAGATAGACACTTACAACATATAAGATAGGCACTCACCACATATAAGATAGGCGCTAACCACATATAACATAAGCACCCACCACATATTCGATAGGCACTCACCACATATTCGATAGGCACTCACCACATATCAGATAGGTCCTGACCACTTTCGCAACCGGCACTCGCCACACATTCGATAGGCACTCAAAACATCAAAGATATGCACTCATCACATATAAGATATGCACTCACTACATATATGATAGGCACTCACCACGTATAAGATAGGCACTCACCACATAGAGGACAGGCACTCACCACATATTCGATAGGCACTCACCACATATCAGATAGGCCCTGACAACTTTCGCAACCGGCACTCGCCACACATTCGATAGGCACTCACAACATCAAAGATATGCACTCATCACATATGAGATATGCACTCACTACATATATGATAGGCACTCACCACGTATAAGATAGGCACTCACCACATAGAGGACAGGCACTCACCACATATTCGATAGGCACTCACCACATATAAGATAGGCACTCACAACATATTTATTAGGTACTCACCACATATTCGATAGGCACTCACCATATGAACGATAGACACTCACCACATATAAGATAGGCACTCACCACATATTCGAAAGGTACTCACCACATATAATATAGGCACACATATATATATAAGATAGGTCCTTACTACATATATGATAGGCGCTCACCACACATAAGATAGGCACTCACCACATATTCGATAGGCACTCACCGCATATAAGATAGACACTCACCACATATAAGATAGGCACTCACCACATATTCGATAGGTACTCACCACATATAATATAGACACACATACATATAAGATAGGCACTTACTACATATATGATAGGCGCTCACCACACATAAGATAGGCACTCACCACATATTCGATAGGCACTCACCACATATAAGATAGACACTCACCACGTATTCGATAGGCACTCACAACATGTAAGATATGCACTCATCACATATAAGATAGGCACTCACCACATACAAGATAGACACTCACCACATATTCGATAGGCACTCACCACATATAAGATAGGCACTCACCACATAGAGGACAGGCACTCACCACATATAGGATAGGCACTCACCACATATTCGATAGGTACTCACCACGTATAATATAGACACACATACATATAAGATAGGCACTTACTACATATATGATAGGCGCTCACCACACATAAGATAGGCACTCACCACATATAAGATAGGCACTCACCACATATAAGATAGGCACTCACCACATATAAGATAGGCACTCACAACATGTAAGATATGCACTCACCACATATTCGATAGGCACACACCACATATAAGATAGGCACTCACCACATATAAGATAGGCACTCAGCACATATAAGACAGGAACTCACCACATATTCGATAGGTACTCACCACATATAAGACAGGAACTCACCACTTATACGATAAGCACTCACCACATTTAGGATAGGCGCACACAAAGACGTCATCCTCTCTGATGGGGAGGTCGCGGATGCCTTTGATGACGTCAATGGGGTTCTCCTGTATGGGAGGCTTTGGGAAGAAATGACCATCCACTTCTACGAGAGTCATGCTGTCTCCGCCGGCATCCGGGATCTTTACCACTGCCATCCTCAACTGTCACAAGAGAGGGAGTTATTAACGCACGGTAGTGTAGTCTATCATAACAATGATGTTCCGTTCGTATCAAGTCAGCGTCGACCACACAAGTTTTGTGGCAACTAAATCGCATGCAATAATTGATTACTGGTCCCCTGCTGAAATCAATGTTTGATGGTCAATGTTACCTGACAAAGGAAAATCGATTCAAGGTGTGATCTTAGTGGACAATGAAATTATACACCAATGTATAAAAACTCAAACGAGGTCACGTGACCAGTTGAGAAACTTTTTCTGGTTATAACATTATACAGTTTGTTTCGCCATGTTATGCCCTTATGAATGGCATATCTTTCCATTAAGTGGATGATGATGGATATATTCCTCGAACAAGGTAAAAGCCTGATATTATTGCTGTATTTTAAGTCGTATTTAATTTTGCGCTCTCGTGTGTGTGTGTGTGTGTGTGTGTGTGTGAGTGAGTGAGTGAGTGAGTGAGTGAGTGAGTGAGTGAGTGAGTGAGAGTGAGTGAGAGTGAGAGAGTGAAATTCGAGGGGAAAAACAACAACAAAAGCAACATTCGTCACCACTCGCCATTTTCCGTAACCCACAAGAAGGTATTCAGCTTGTCCCGGAATACCACGAGTGGGGCACAAGTGGGGCACGAGTCGGTATTCGGCTTGTCCCGGAATAACAAAAAATGCAAAAGCAATAACCAGTCTACGGGAATTGCTCTGGGATAGGGTCCTTTAAGGTATAATTTAACGCACCTGGTAATATTATCGTCTATTTAATTCAATTCAATTTAATTAACTATTTAATGCTTATGTAGGTCAGGCACTTAATCCTCAAAATGACATGGTGACCCAGGCTGACAGTGTGGTCAGTGATGATATGCATAGCCTGTAATCCGGGACAAAGGTCTGGATATCACCTTCCCCTGAGAGCGACTAGACCGCTTGAATCATTCAGGAATAGGGTTAATCGTATGTTAAGCATAAACTCTAACCTAGTTCAAGTGGCAGGTGAGAATATGATATGTTCGGGTATGTCTTCTTACTAAAAGTACCCCGTGAAGGCCCCGGTAAGAATTGGTCTGCAGTAACCCATGCTTGTCATAAAAGCCGACTAACGGGATCGGGTGGTCAGGCTCGCTGACTTGGTAGATACATGTCATTGTATCTCAATTGAAACCTTCATCCGATTGTTGTCATCGGACAATATACATATTTTAAAATCATTGAGTAAATATCTTTCACAAGTTCGCCGTAGAAGGAATGAATAACTGTAAAACAAATCAATACTAAACTTTACTTAGCTTTACTCAGTTATGTATTTACTTTTGCCAAATGTATGTATTATGGACCTTGGACATACATTGCCGAATAAACCTGTCTGTCTGTCTGTCTGTCTGTCTATCTCATGCTGTTGATCATTGGATAGTCTGGTCCAGACTCGATTACTTACAGATCGCCGCCATATAGGTGCAAAACTGCTGAGTGCGGCGTTAAACCAACCAACCAATCTTACTACGAAATAGAAAAATTTACCGTTGATACTAATCTTCATGTTTTAGAAAATTTAACATTTGGAAACACTGTGTTTAATCTGTATTGATTGAAATTAAGCTCAAAAGATCACGTGAAGGCTTATTACAAGCCTATGGCGCTGGAAGGAAGTTATTTCAAAACATCTTAGTCAGCAGATCGGACCCCACATCTAAAATCATAACACATATTTCCAAAATTGATGTTTTACAACCAATTTTGAGGCCTAGGTCCATGGCCATTAGACCTTTGTTTCGGATGAAAATGAAAACTCCATCGCTGACCCGAAACAGGATGAATTGCCAACATGTGGAGTATGTCATTACTTAAGGAAGCGTCACAATATATGGATATATATTATATTTATTACTGTGACAGCGACGTTTCAGTGAAGGTTCTAACTCCGTTATCAAGCAAGCGTTCATCCATATATTGCCATCCTCCCTTAGTGCTCAAACTTCTAAATGCCTCTACCCGTGAAGACCCGGGTTAGATTAGTCTTCATCGACCCATGCTTGTCGTAAAAGGCGACTACCGGGATCGGGTGGTCGGGCTTGCCGACTTGGTTGACACATGTCATCGTATCCCAACTGGTTCGATGCTCATGCTGTTGATCACTGGATTGTCTGGTCAATACTCGATTATATACAGACCGCCGCCATATAGCTGAAACATTGCTGAGTGCGGCGTAAAACTAAACTCACTCAATCTAAATGCCTCTCAAACACGTTATGTCAGTACCTGTTCCAGAGACCTATCACAGACGGTGGAACACTGCAGCAGTACACCCAAGCAATGATTAAAATCAAGTAAATCCCAACTGTATGTCTGGTGGACTGTTAAGAAGTTTCGATAGTGTGAATACAATCAATTCTACCATGACTTAAATAAATATTAGATTGTGAAAGGTTAATTTAAGTCAATGAGAGGTATATAATCACATTATATACCTCTGATTTTCCAACACGGTATGTAATTTTGAAAAACTTAATAACGCGGTTAGGTAGAATGGAGATAAACATTCTGTGTTGCAAAATCACAGGTATATAACGAAATTATAATAGCTCTAAATGTTCTTTTTAAACCTTCACGCTATGCGTTCGGTTTTAAATCAAATTAATAGCTATTATAATTTCGTTATATACCTCTGATTTTCAAACACAGCATGTTTATCTCCTAAATATGTGTTGAATATGATATATCATGATACACCTACCGCTTACCTGAGATCAGTAGTTGTTCGCCTTAGCCTGCGAGTTGTTTGTACTGTATAGTTCTGAACTATGTAACTATAATTTGTAAAGGCTTACCGGTGTTCGGACGTTTCGTTACCTGTGCAAATAACCCGGTTAACGTGACTGGGCCAGGTCAGTAGGGTAAACTATGCGTTGAACAAGATGAAATATATCTGAGATCTGAGGTCTCAGGCAAAGTCGAACTTTGCCTGAGATGGATATAACTATCGTTTTCAAGAATACAGACTATGAATTTTCAAAGGTCTACCGGTGTTCCGACGTATTGCTCCCTGTGAAAAACAGTTCGTTGATTCCGTTAATTTCGTTTGTTTTTAGGACCGTATTCAGCAGAATTCTAACGGAAGACGGCGGACTGTAAATAATCGAGCCTTGGCCTGTAACATCAACAAGGGGTAATCTGGGGTTAGAGCAGTTCGTTATATTTTGCCTACTTTAGACAACTGTAAAATTAAAAATTGTAGAAAAATTGCAGTTTGTTCTAATTACAGATTGATCTCACAATGGTACATAAAATCGACAAGGACATGTAATGGCTCTTTTAATGTTGAATCGACAGGGCGATTATTGTATTGGCGTCTGTCACTGGAGAATGAATGTTTACCCGTATCATTGTCTGTGTTTTCGTATAGTCCAGTTAATCTACGATTTAACCTCAAACAAATTACAAAAAAATATATTTTGCGATGAATATGTTCATTGACGTTGTCTATATGACATATCAGAAGTCTAATAAAAACTAAGGTGGAGAAACAATAAAAATAATTAAAATAAATTTATCCCAAATTCCCAAACCAAACCCGAATTTCGACCCCTTCGGGCCACCATAGGGAAAAAGGGAGACAATTATGTTTGATTGCCGGTAAACAGGCTACGTCACGACGACAAAAGAAGTTCATCAACATGCATTTTTGCGGTTTTCAAGTCAGTTATTTTATACATAATTTATGCATTGTCTCCGCTCATGATTCAAAGATATGGCATGATTTTACAAACGTAACGCCTAATCTACGGCAACATTTACCTTGCAATGGTAGACTTTTTAATCCCGTTTTTTTCCAGTCATTAAAGTAAGAAACTGGAATACGTTTGACATATATTCGTTTTTCGTTTTATGAAAAAGAGATGCAACGCTGGTGTAGAAATTAAGATTAAAACGGTATGAGATACAACGTCACTGTCAGGAAAAAAGACTATGGAAGCTTACAAAGGGCCATGCTGATTAAAGAATTTCCACAGATTTGACCAAGATTATTATGCTTGAAATATGCTGAGTAGTGTGTGTCACTACAAGACTACACAGGCTGTGCTGACAACAGAAACTGCTGTACATACAAAACCCCACATGTGTCACTTATTGCTAAACGTACACCAGATCATCCTCGATAATCTCCAGGGTGTACGTTACCATCACTCTCCACTATACCCTGGATGCATCCACGGCTTGGGGCGATGATTTTATTACCTCCCTTTGGCTGGTTTTTTATCCAGTCAGGTGCCTACGCTGGGAAGTTGAGCGTACCAATCACTTCTCACTTTCGCGTCTTAAATTATCTAACCGTTTAAACTTGGCAACACAATTGATGCAGAGGTACTCTGAAAGAAGTAGAAGGAGTTCTTTCATATATTCTTTTTAAAGTTTCAGATCTATGAATTTGTCTTGAACAAACCTTTGCAACTGCGACCGCAATTTTTGTTGACACTGGCAAGCTCGGTTGTAACGCCGGCTGAGCTGATTGGTTACTGTGAGAATGCGGAGCCAGCCAAGGGAGGTAAAAGCATTCAAAAGCCGTTGATGCATCCAGGCTATAGTGGAGAGTGATCGTAACGTATACCCTGGAGATTATCGAGAATGACACCAGATATACATGTCAAGGTTTCAATAAGACCAGATTGTACCACGCTTGGTTCAACGTTTTGGACTTGAAATATATATTGATTAATTATTATTCCGCTGACCAGATATAAGTATAATGTTTGGAAAACTCCCATTTGATGTTGCTTTCAATGAAATAGAACTACATCAACGAAGTCCTTGCACGCCTCATGCTTCCGAGTGTGGACCGACAGAGGGAGCTGTTCCAGCATGACAACGCTACTTCACATACAGCCGTTACCTTGCCAGTTCTAACGTCAATGTCTTGCCATGGCCTTTCCGATCACCAGATCTGAACTCGATAGAACACCTGTAGGATGAACTCGATCGAAGTGCACGTCAACGTCAATATACGCCTCCGACACTTCCACAATTGGCCATCGCATTGCAGGAAGATTGTGATAGGATTCCGCAAGAGCCACTTCGTCGACTTTCCCAGTCCAGCAGTGATTGCTGCCAATGGTGGCCATACAAAGAACTTTAACGCCATCTTGTGGACTCAAGAAAACAGAGACATAACAAGACATGCGACTGTTGTGTTGGCGAATACCTTGACTATAGGCGTGTGAATTGTCATCTTTGTACCATTGAAGTTACATGAAATAATTGCTCTTAATCTAAATAAATAAATTCTTCTAAAATGGCATAAACAAACTGTAGCTGTTTCTGGGAGTGAGTGAGTTTAGTTTTACGCCGCACTCAGCAATATTTGAGCTATATTTCGGCGGTCTGTATATAATCGAGTCTGGACCAGACAATCCAGTGATCAACAGCATGAGCATCGACCTGCGCAATTGGGAACCGATGACATGTGTCAACCAAGCCAGCGAGCCTGACCACCCGATCCTGTTAGTCGCCTCTTACGACAAGCATGGGTAACTGAACGTTCATTCTAACCCGGACCTTTACGTTCAGCTGTATCTGGAGTTGGAGTGGGAAGGGGAATGGGGGTACATTCAGTTTTATATATATCATAATCATGTGATTTTCCATATCCAGTACATAACAGGCATCATCCAGATGTTGCAATACCATGATCACTTAAGATCATTATGCCTGTTGCATCACCATGATCGACCCTATGTAAAGTGGATAGACAACTTCTTGTAGTAGTAGACAACTTCTTGTAGTCGTAGTTGCGACGTTTCGGTGTAGATCCTAACACCGTTATCAAGCAAATGATGCACAACATTTGCACAAGGAGAAATATGTATGAATATTTCTCCTTGTGCAAATGTTGAGTATCAATTGCTTGATAATACCACTTCATCATACCAGCTTCTAAATGCCACTTAGGAAAGAAACCCCATTTAAAATGGAAGAATAGAGATGGACTGACTGACTGTCTGACTGAGTATGCTTTTACGCCGTTTTTAGCAATATTCAAGCAATATCACGGCCGGGGACACCAGAAATGGGCTTCACAAATTGTACCCATGTGGGAAATCGGACTCGGCATGACAAACGAAGGCTTTAATCACGAAACTACCCCACCGTCCCGTTAGCAACTAGAACTGAATGCTCAAACTGGTGGGGAATCGAATCCAGGCCTTCGGCGTGACGAGCGAACGCTTTAACTACTAGGCTACTCCACCGCCCCAATATATACGGATGTTATATTGAAATGATATATGCCAAAGGAATAGAGATAATAAATATCATTATTATTCCATTTTTGAAAGCACATACATTGTTAAAAATGTTGTGTATGAGAAGTGAAGGCACACTCCAATGTCAGCGATACAGCTGTGTTCGTACGTATAGCAAAGTTGTTACGTGCAACACTACAATTTCAACCATACACAACATGGTATACCGCTGTATCTTCTGCATCACTTGTGATATAATGAGATAGATAGACTGGTGGTTAAACTATTCGTACTGGTGGGATCTCAACGCCAGCGTGGGACACTCGGGAACGCTTAAGTCAGCCACGGAGACCAACTTGCGTGGGAAGAACTAATTTGGTTGACGAGTTGACAAAACATTCTTCATTTGTTGGATCCTTACATGATACAACTACTGATAACAGAACACGAAGCGGCCATAGAAGCCAGGTTTAAGGCGCTGCAATTCGCTGTTCAGAGAGGCGTGCCTTGGTTATGCCAGAAACATAGGATCGTTCGAAACCGGTTTGCCTCTATTTCTTGGTTTAATGGCACCATGCATTTGCTTTTAGGTTTCAACTAAGTGGTAGCCTCGTGAGATCTAAATCACCTCCGGCCTTCCTTCCATATTCAGCTGACATGCCGTGATGTAACTGGAATACTGTCACAAGCGGCGTTAAACAGTATTCTATCAGCAATTCACTCTCATACACTCACTCACACACTCACACACTCACTCACACACACACACGTACGCGCGCACCCTCGCATGCATATATAATCTCTTGACCTTTAAGGTGAATGTTGTATTTAAAACGTATTACTGTTTATGTTTGTTGCCAAAAATCATTGAACAGATACTGTGTTCATGACATAACAGAGTTTCATGAATTAATGTTGAATTCACATTTGACAAAAAAATTCCTGAAATCTTTTTTGCCTTACATACAAAACGTCAACACAGGAGAAAAAAACCCTGTCTTGATCATCCTATAGTTTCAGTGTGTACTACTCGGCAGTTGCTATTGTTTTGCGTGATGTGATTGTTACAATATTGCATATTATGTATTTCATTAATATCCAACGACGGAGGCCAAAGCTTATCAAGACGCCCGAGGCATTGTAATAAAATGGACAGAGTTCTCTCCCTTGGGCGTGCCAGGAAACAATATCACCTGCCGTTCATGTCCATATTCGCCGTAACTGTGTTCTAAATAGGTACCTTCTCCCACCATTGTGGGTTTTCACTAAAGCGGAAAGTGACCAAGATGTTGAAACGGGCCTCCCTCCTTTATTAAATATGTTAACAGCGTCACCAAAACTGATAGACCGGAGCATCTTTTCAAAGACATATCTACTTTCCATTATTGTCTCTATCACCTTTGTGTGAGAGTGGTGTGTAAATTCTTTTGGTATCAGTGAGCAGTTTGATCACCTGATTGTCAGAAGTGTTAACGGGATGGTGGTGTAGCCTAGTGATCGAAGATCCGGGTTCGATTCCCATAATAGGGTACAGTGTGTGAAGCCCATTTCTGGTGTCCCCTC